TGCTCAAGTGTAGTGCTTTCATGAGTAAGGGTTAGGCTTGATGTTTTTTCTGTTTCATACAAGGAAGTACAGTTTTTGAACTGATTCCTTTCTTTATCTGTACTCATCCCATATCTTACTCCCAGTGATCTAACAAATAGTGACAAAACGATTTCTAGTCCTTGGAGTCATTTGTAAGTTTTCTTCAGCCTTGCTTACAGCCTTGCATATTGAGACATCCTTTGAGATTAAAGTACTTTCATGACTGGCAGGCATCCATCCTTCTCTGCTTTTTTTACTGCAGCGTGTGTGAGCGAAAAAAATGGAGGTAAACCTTGCATCCAGCTCAGAGTAAAATATTCTGCCAGGGGAGGTTTAGGTTGAATATTAGGAAAAAATTTTTACAGAGAGAGTAATCAGACATTGGAATGGGCTGCCCAGGGAGGTGGTGGATTCACCGTCCCTGGGGGTTTTTAAGATGAGACTGGATATGGCACTTAGTGCCATGGTCTAGTAACCGTGGTGGTATTGGATCAAGGGTTGGACTTGATGATCTTGGAGGTCTTTTCCAACCTGGTTGATTCTGTGATACTGTAATTACAGCTAATCTTCAAGGTGTCTAAATTATAACAGCATCAGTAGGGCATGAGCTTTCTTTAACAGTTTTGGTAGAAATTCAGGTAATTTCAAAGAGGCCTCTTGAAGCAGTAATCTAGTCACTGGAGTGGGTAATTCCATTTTGAAAGCTTGCGGGATCTTGAGTGGAGCACTGACATTTCCTGATTTTAGTGACATTTATCTTGAGAGCATTCACTTCAACCTTCATATCTTTCTCTCTGTCTCTGAATCTGTCAGTCCTCCTTCCCGGGCTTGAGGGGGATGTTGCCGTTGTTCCTGTGTTGAATGTCTGCTGGGAGAGGAGGTAGCTTCTCTTAGAGCCTGGCTGTTTGAGTATGTCTGGCACTCTCAACCTCCACTTCTGTGCTACCGATACCCGTTTTGAGAACAGTGTGCAGTTGAGGTTTCTGTGTACTGCACAGATACCAAAGACGGTACATGACAGGGCTGAGAGCCAGCATAGCATCGTGAGGGAGACGTCTATGGGAACCGACAGCTCCTTGCTTAGGAGCTGCTGTCTTTCAGAGATGCTGGGTACTGCATCTCCTGTTTCCCACTGAGTTTCTACCAGCTTCTTTAGGCTTTAGCATGGGAAATAAAGTACGGTCTGTCACACTGAAACTTGGGAAGGATAGCCCAATGACAAAAACATCCCCAGACTTGAAACTATAGGAGGTGCTGATACCACTTGATTCAATCTATTTTCTTTTCTCTTCTGCCTTCTTGTGCTTTTGGACTGGGTCTGGTGGCTAACTGGCTCTCAGTCTGGGTGAGTCCAGCCTGCAGCATTTACATCTGTACTTGGTATTAGGGTATCTACTGCATGCCACGGTTATCTCTGTATTCCCAGCATGAGTTGGAGTTTGCAGCTGAAAACTTACTAGGCAGGTGCATTAGAGTCTTGCTTTACTTATTAAAATTAAAATGTCTGTTTCTTTAGGCACCAAGGTTAGTTCTCCATAACAGTTCAAGTTATTAAAAGCTCTTGGAAGACTAAAATGAGAGGGTTTAGTGGTGGAAGTGCTCTTCTGTGAGGATGATTCATGTGCAGACTAAGCAACAGCCAATGTTCAAAACACATAAAGGCTCACCAGGCTTGAGATAGTCAGTAATCTCTGCATTCACCAGAGTAGAGGTCACCAGAAAAATCCACCCAATGCTGAGGAGCGCAAGGAGTCTTCCTGGCTAGGGCCCGATTGCGTATGGGATATAGAACCAGTTGTTGCCTGACCTCTTTAAACCAACTTGGAGTTCGCATGGGAGTATCAGGAGTGCATTGGCTTTAGTTGTCCTGGTACTGATACAGCTAGAGGCTTAGGTCTATTCTCTTTGGCATGGTGAATTTGGGATATTTTCAGTTGAATTCAGGGTACTACTGCACAAGCCAGGGCAAGATTTCTTCTATGCAGAGAGGGTCTGCACATCCTAAGCAAAAACCAAAGCTGGTAATTGAGTTGTTGTCTGTATTTGGATGAAACATATTAAATGCAAATAAGTTGACTAGATGATAACTGTACAGATTATGGTGACTTGTACAAGACCATGTGAATTCTCATATGATGGATTTCAGCAGTGTAGGCAGTTGGTCCAGCTTTGAGCACAGATGGCTGTGTAAACAAACTACAAAATTATTGTGCAGATGTGCCTATCCTCCTTAGTTTGTACAGTTTTGTGCTTGACTTTCTGCCTTACTTTGGTGAGGTGATGGCTTAGCTGGGAGTGGGTGGTTGAATGAGAGCCTCAGATAACTGACTTTGTATCACACGTTAGTTGCTGATTTCATAAACAGCCATTAGGTCAGGCTGTGCTGTAAGTTAGAAGGTGTTAATGTGGCAGGTATGAGTTAAGCCTTCATGATTTCCATGGCATCTTCCTACTGTTGTGTAGTTTCTAGGCTTCTTATTTTTTTTTTGTGAAGAGATTCCCTTGGAGGCCAAGTATGAAATTAGCATAAGTGAAGTGCATGGAGATAGTCCTGTCATCTGAATTCCCAGATGAATCAGAGTTTATCAGCTCCAAATTACCTGAAATCCTTTCTAGGGGAAGGTGATCACTTCATGTGACTGCTCACTTAATAGAATTAGTGACATCTTGCACAGGGGGTAAAGCATGTGAAGGAGCTGGGCTGCTTATGGCTTTGTTCTCCTTAAGACCCTTCTGAGCATAAATATTGATTGCAGCTTACCTGGTCCTTGAGGGTAGGACTGAACTCCAGATTGGCACCTCAGTGGCAGTATGTAGGTGCTTATGTGTATAAAGCTACCAGCCAGACCGCCTTTGTGATGAGGAGTTGTCTGGAGTCAGTGGCACTGTCTGTTGCTCTCTGAAAATGGAAGCCTCAGCTTCTCTTTCCAAGAATGTATGAGGGAGTCTCATGACACAGAAGAAAGCCTGTGTTAAAGGTGGCTTGCCACGTACTGCTATCTTGTTTTTTCCCTTCCCTCTTGACTGGAAGCTTTAATATTGATCAATTGGTAAAGATTGCTTAAGAAGTTTTGAAGACACATCACTTATCATCAGTGAGTGTTACAAATATAAGCAGTGAGCTGAACTATTTTAAAAGACTTCTCTTACTGTTTGTTAGCTGTTGTTTGCTGTTGTTGCTTCACTGAAGATCCAAACCTGCCTTTTGGATCCACTTGGGAAATATTTTTTCTCATTCTATTCTTCTGCTACATTCAGGCTCTCAAGAAGGTGGTTGATCATTTCTATATTGCCATATGATTTGTACTGTTTAGCCAGTTATGGGTATGGCGATACCATTTTATCACATCTTGATAATCTTTTAAATATTAGATTGTATTCCAGGGTTCAACCAAGCAAACAATTAGTTCAAGTTTCTGTTCCTGTCTGTTTTGTTGCTGTTGTGGTGGTTTATTTTCTGTATTACAGCTGCATTACAGTATTAGCACAGTAGTATTGTGTGACTTCAATTAAAATAAAGCTATGCTGCTGAGGGAAGAGGAAATTCAGAAGATTCTTGCAGATGGTTGGTAAGGAGTAGCCTTCCGTGGGAATTACTCAGCTCTCGTTCACACTGGCTGAGTGAACAATTCCTAGTGTGTAGGGTTGTGAAGAGAGCAGTGTTCATGGGAAGGCAGAGTAGAGGTTAAAGTGCTTGATTTGCAAAGTATGTGTCCGACAGATACCCCTCTGGCCTACGTATTGTGCTGGCAAATAAAGTGTCCTTGGCATAGGTGATGAGATGGTAGAGTAACTAGTAGACCAAGAGCAAGGCATAGTAAATGTCTTGCAACTGATCTGGTGCCAAGACCTTACCTTTTTTTTTTTTTGGATGATTTCTTTTTCCAGACCCATAACAACCTCCTGTTGCCTGACAATTGTTTTAAGGTGACAGTAGGGCTGCCTTTTCCAACAGCTGCCACACTTCCCTCTCCTCTGCCCCCAGCCTAACACCTCCCTTGAGCTTTACCAGCAATGGCAAGTCTGTGCAGTGAGCTGAAACCTGTGCTGACGAGTATGGGAAATAATTATGTGTTTCTGTCCACTGTCTGAAAAACTCTGATGCTTAACACAATAGATAATGTGGGAGCATGGCGGGGGAAGAGCCAATTTTGCTTTAGGCATCTACACTGAGGACTTGGAACAAATGAGAGCAGTCACGAAACTGAAGCCATGGAATCATTACATTTGGCTTGCTGGATGCAACTTTGGTTTTATGATGGATGTGTAAACAGAAGTAAACAACATTCTCCTCAATTTACTTCACTGGAGGAAGTTCCTCAGGCAGCCGTTGTTCTGCTGCTTTGATTTGGATCATGCAATGGGAAGGATGGTCTTCATATACCCCCTCTCTTTTTTATTAAAAGGTAGAAACCAGTTCGTGTGGGTGTTTTTTTGTTGAAAGAGGTTTATCTCAGATGTCTGTTTCTGTTCCAGGCTTTTACTGATGTTTATAAACCTGAACAGAAAAGCTGAGGAAAAGCCAAACAACCCATTCCAGCTTCCTTGCAGTCTTCTGTCATGTCCTTGTTTTTGAAAGAAAAGTTAATTTTGTGGTAGCTCTGTCAAACATAAAACACAACCTTGTTTAAACAATGAGCTGTCTTTGCTCAAATGTATGTTTGTGTGGAATATTGTATGTCACATCTGTTTTTGAAGAAATTTATGTACTGCTCCTTGCAACTATTTTCAGAATTACTGTTCCAAATCATTACAGAGGAATATGAGAAAACCTGTTTTTTTTAATGTGGAAACATAACTTCTGGAAAGAAGCAGCATGCGCCTGTAGTTGCAACTTGACAGCCTACATTGAAGTACACAAAACTGTACTCTGTCTTGCTTTGTTCTCTTAGGCTGTGAAATGCATCTTGAAACTGAGAGTTAAATAGAAGTTCTTTTATCATTATTTTGGCATTCTTTTAGAAGGAGCAGCTGGAATAATGGATGCTGCTCTCATATCAGGTAATCTTTCATTTTTCCTGAAGTTCAGTTTCATAACTTTGGAAACCAGAAACCTGTTGAGCTGCTACTTGGAAGCAAATTATATTTAGGTGACAAACCAGCTTGGGTCTGCAGGTGTGGATGGGCAGTTTGACCTTGTGAATTTCTATTTATTCCCCATTATCATCTCTCTTGACAGTAGTCATTGCACCACTATCATAAAACGTTAGAACGATGACGACTCTGACTTTTTGAAGAATATCTCAAAATACATTTTTAGTTAGGGGAAGTACAAGGGCTTGATAACAAGAATTTTGAAAGTTTTGTAGTACTGTAATAAACGCTCTGTCTCATCTATAGAATGGTGATTAAATAGCCCAGACCACTTTCGAGGATGTGAACTGATGGAAACAGGTCTTCACATTTGCGAAGAAGTGGCTCCCATAGTGATCTAAATGCTGTCTCTTTTGCTCTTAAGTCATATCTGTTGCTGTGAACTGGGAAAGTTGCACAAAAATAGCTGTTTTCTGTTTCTCATTTATTCTTTATGCAGGAACATGTGGCATGATTATGTTTGGCAGGAGACATGGATGGAGAGAAGTCTGCAAGGGATGTTCAGTCCTGTGCAGTCTGTTTTGTACAGATAGACCTGCTGGAAATGGAAATGTTAGGCAGAACCAAATGTTGGCTTGAGGCTTCCGTATGCTTTTCAGGTAGTGGAGTTTTTACTTTCTTAAATACAGGGATACTACGGAAGTGGTAGAACTTTCTACTGAGACAATTTTAATTAGCCATTCTGGGCTCTTCAATTTCTCTTGTGGAAATACTGCTGTAGTTTAATCAAGACCTTCTGCAAACCAGCAGACTTCATAATAGCAAATCTGTATCAGTGAAGGCAGGTGCTTTGACTGGCATGGTGCAAACCGTGCTGTGGAGCACGGCAGCATGTCAGAGAGACCTGTTAGTTTTCTACAGAGTATTTCTTATGCTGCTAAAGTGACAGTAGTGAAGTGTCAGGGGAGTGCCCAGAAGAGCTGAGTAGAGACCAGCTTCTCCTCTTAGCAGTGATGGTTTCCAAAGTGATCTCAGTGCCACGGTTTAACAATTCACTGGTATCTTTTGCAAGGGGGAAGGCTTTTTCATTTTCTTGCTTTCTTCCAGCTGCTTAGACCTGCTTTGGCTATGGTGATTAAGTGACCAGCCAGTTCACACTGCGTAGATAGAAGATCAGGTGAGGTAATGTCTGAAGACTTAGTAATCATCTAGTTAACTTAAATGTTGAAGAAGACATCACTGTCCAAAACTTGAAGCTTTTTTTTGCTCATAGTTATGCTGTATGGGAAGTTCCTCAGGTAATCTAACATCTGTAAGTTCTCAAGGAGAAGCTGGAAAAGATCTCATTCCACAGTATACTTCCATTGACCGACTAGGAAAAGGGAAAAAAAATATGTTGAAAGTTACCCTTACGTTAGCCTCTAGACACCCAGTACATGATCATAATGAATAATTGTGAACATGTTGTGTGGAAATCATGGGCTGTGGTAATTTTTTTTTTATTTTGGTCACTTATTAATTTCATTTTTTTGCCACATAGCAAAGAGTCTGTAAACTTCTCAGGGGGCTAGCGATCATATGTTTTTGTGTACAAAACAAAAAATATGTTCAAAAGCTAATCAAGAAAACACTTTTTTTAGTCAGTTAACTATGCCAGTATGGATGAACAAGTGTAGGGTCTTCATTCAGTTCTAGACTTCTCTGTATAGTAACTTTCTCAGCTGTCAAGCATAATTATACCTGCAATTATTAGAACATTTACTGTCTGAAACACAGGGAGAGTACAAGTGGATTTTTGGCACGTTCTTCCTTTCCTGCCTCCTTGCGTTGGTGGTAAGGAACATGTATCAAAATAGATGAATACAGGAAATGCATGAGAATTGTTCATGTTAGTACCTCTGGTATAGAAGGAACCTCTGAAAAGTCCCTAGGGAAAGCCTCTCTCATCTATGTTCTCTCCAATTTGGTAATGTGTTTTTAATGACTGAACATATCCATATTTTGAAATGAAATAGGCTTTTTCTGCTTTAAAAGACAGTTTTTGGCAATGTGCTTTGCTTGAAGTTTATAGACGAGTCCTTGAAGGAAAAGTGTTGCAGAAAATTCTCCGTGCAATTGGTCCACTTCTGGCATTAGAAACAGAGGCCAAGAAATGAGATGAAGGATGTGGCATCTTCCAGGGAGTGGCTCAGGAGAGGTTTTTTTGTGCTATTTGTGCCTGTTTCTTCTGTGTAAATAAATAAGTCTTAAGAGATACAGTAATCTTGAATTTACTCAAGGTAACCTTGAAGATTTTGTTTGTTTATAGCATTTTACAAAAACTTGTTGGGAAGGAGCAAAACACCTAGTGTGGTAAAGATCCCTTGTAAAAGATCACGTGTATTGCTGCTGGAGGACAGGTGATGATGGGTAGTGTGTCTGTTACTTAGAGGCTGAGTAAAAGTAAATGTAGCAGTGTAAGACCTATTATTCCACTTCAAATTACATTGTATTATTTATGCTAGCAGTGATAAGAATGGGATTAAAAACAGTGCAACCAAGTGATGTTTTTTTTCCCTGCTTATCAGATAGAAATTTAAGGTCCTAAGGAAAAAAAACCCTGGATCATGATAGTCTCTCTCAACAAGGCTCTCTGTACCTCTGCTGTAGATCTTGGAACTCTAGCTGAGGTGGGGGAACAGCAGGGAGCTGTGCTGTGTTGTGTACATGGGGTGAGGCAGCACTTGACCATGGAATACCCTGAAGGAGTCTACTGGTATTTGAATGCAGCCATACAGAGGTTAAAATGCAGCCTGACAGCCATATTGGATCAGTATTTTCTTTCTATCTCTCGATCCAGCATTTCCTCCAACTGCCAAAGAATTTGTTGAGCTGTGGTGCCACCCTGGGTTGGTCTAGTGATTACTTTAATGGTTGGGGCATCTTTGCCTCTATAGGTCGCAGGAGTCAGAAACCACATTTGCAATCTGGCAATATATTCTGTCAGATTTGATTCTCCCCAGATCAAATAATTTGTATGCTACCACAACAGCCTTTGTACCTTATATATGTTTGGTATTGTAGAGTATTATAAATGGATAAATGAATACCAGTTTATGCCACAGTCGGATATGATGGATTCCATTCCCTTATGGCTCCCTGTACTGTCTCAAATTATTTATCTAAATCCTCCCCATCCTCCCTGAAATCAGCTTCTGAACATGGTTCAGAGGTGCCTTCAGGAGCTAAATTTCAGACAGCCGTAGTGGCTTTTCCTAATGGAGTAGTTGTGGCTAAGAAATCCCGAATCAGGTCAGCAAAGTTACTTGTAATGACCACGTGTAAGTGATGAGATTACCTTTTCCAAGTATGGATCTAAAGTTTTTTTAGCAAATTGTAATAAATCATAAATTTCTAGAAAGAAATCAGAAGTCATGAATATTTGCTAAAGCTTGTTTTATTACGGGATTCATAAGAAGAGGATCAGTACAAGTGGAGGAATTAGAAAGACAGAAATATAGAGAAGAAATATTTGTAATACTTGAATAAGCATCTAAAAAGTTCATACAGAAACTCCAATAGAAAATTTCCAGCCCCTTTTGTGCCTCCCAGCTGCAACAGAGCAGCCAGCAATGGGAGTCATATGTAGTCCTGGGTGCTTTGGTGAAGGACCAGAAAACGTCATGAGTCAATAAATGCAGAACATATTTTTGTAGAACATTTTTTGTGTAAAAGCTGACTTTGTTGCCAGGAGATGATTGAAGTAAACTGTTGTTTGCTCAATGGTATAGCAAAAGCTGCTACTTTGATGATGAAAGACCATGTGGCATTTGTTTTTTTTAACCTGTTGGTGCTGCAGAAGTATTTGGTTTGTGAAATATAGCTATCCAGGAGGTCAGTGGTGATGACATAGTCTGTATTTGCCTAAGCAATGTAATGAAGGCCCTCCTTTCTGTACTAGGAATATAAGCTGTTTGTCTTACTTTTCAGAGTAGTCTGCTTCCTCCTCTCCCTAGCTGTTGTCTCTTGCTCAGTCCCAAAGAAAAGATCAATTCCTGCCTCTCCCTGTGATTGTGAAGCTGGGCTGTATTGCTTTCTTGTTTTTCAAACAGTGTTCTCTCCATGTGGTCTCTCAGGCTTCAAAGCAACCCTCAGAAACATTCACAAAGCTTTCTGCTTGCTTCTTAAGGTCTTGAAATAGTATCTGCAAATGCTTGAGGAGGGCTAATGCTTGTGAGGTTTTGGTTTTGAATACTAAACACACTATGATGTCGTTTTTTTTCTTTATTCCTGCATTTTCATATCTCCTTCCACATGCTTAACTCTTTCTGGCAAATACTGCTTTTTGCACTGACTCAGAGGTAGTGCTTGTGACCCCTCAGTAATATGAACCTGTGGTAGTTTGATTTAGGCCTTCCTTGGTGACCAGTTTGTAGCCAAGGAAGGGCCCGGATTTACCCAGTATTCCCTACGATTTTTATGTAAGCCAGACTATAAGAAGAAAGGAGGAAAGTCCTTCGCTCTCTTTTTCCTTCTGGCGGCTTGGAGGTGCAGGTTCCCTGCTGTTGAGTCTGCCGTGTTGGGGAGCGAGGCCTGGTAAGGCCTTGTCGACCTTGGGAGACGGAGGTTGCCAGTGATCATTCCAGAGCGACTCTCAGTTGTCCCAAGGAGAGTAGTGAGATATTTCTTTGCTAACTCTTTTAGTTGCTAGATATTGGGCCACTAATCAGGATGTATATATATATTTTATTTTGGTTTTGTTCCTTTTCCCCTTCCCCCTTCCCTTTCCCTTGTGAAATTGTATATATTTCAATTGTATATAACTGTAACATAAGTGTAAATATATTTTTATATATATTGCTATAGCTGTCTCTCTCGTTTAGGTTTTTCTTGATTGTCTTTCTCCCTCTTCTCCCTGAGGTTTGGGGTGGGGGGACGACTTCTTGTGGTAAGCTTTGGAGACTTGGCAGGGAGCCAGCTTCAAACCATATCAGGGCCATAAGAGCTTGTGTGTTTGTAATGGTGTTTAAAAAAGTATTGCAATAAATAGACCATTAAGTTATTAATGTATCTGTTTTATCTTCCACAGAAGCTCCTTGTGCTACTCCACTGATCTGTAGCTTTGGAAGGCCGGTGGACCTGGAGAAGGATGACTACCAGAAGGTTATATGCAACAATGAGCATTGTCCTTACAGCACTTGGATGCACCTTCAGTGCTTCTATGAGTGGGAAAGCAGCATCCTCGTCCAGTTCAATTGCATTGGCAGAGCCAGGAGCTGGAACGAAAAGCAGTGTCGCCAAAACATGTGGACCAAGAAGGGATATGACCTGGCTTTTCGCTTTTGCTCCTGTCGGTGTGGGCAGGGTCATTTAAAGAAGGACACTGACTGGTACCAGGTGAAGCGAATGCAGGATGATAAGAAGAAGAAATCAGTGTTGGAGAAGAGTACGGGAAGGTCTATGGCAGAGTCAACAGAGGAGGCCAAAAAGGGCAGGCCGGCCAACAAGCCCCAGAAAGGCTTGAGTAATGACCTCCAGCGAAGGCACTCGATGGACAGGCAGAACTCCCAAGAGAAGGGTGTGATGGGTGGCAGCTACGCCGTTCGTTCACCTTGTGTCTCTCCTGGCCAGTCCCCGCCCACTGGCTACTCTATTCTTGCCCCCACACACTTCAGTGGGCCTCGTTCCTCGCGATACTTGGGAGAGTTTTTGAAGAACGCCATTCACCTGGAGCCCCATAAGAAGAACATGGCTGGTGGGGGCATGTTCAGGAATGCACATTTTGATTATGGGGCAGCTGGCTTGCAAACACATAGGTCAGGACACTTCGATGCTCCTGTGCAGTTTTTGAGAAGGCTCGATCTATCTGAGCTGCTCACTCACATCCCCAGGCATAAATTGAATACTTTCCATGTGCGGATGGAAGATGATGCCCAGGTGGGCCAAGGGGAAGACCTTCGGAAGTTCATCCTTGCTGCTCTCAGTGCCAGCCACAGGAACGTTGTAAACTGTGCTCTATGCCACAGGGCGCTGCCAGTGTTTGAACAGTTTCCGCTGGTGGATGGGACCCTATTCCTTAGCCCATCAAGACATGATGAGATTGAATATGATGTTCCCTGTCACCTTCAAGGTACAGGTTGTCTGTCAGTCATGCTAGGTTTCATTAAATGATGGAACTGCCTTCTGTGCCCTGTCCCCTCCATTATAGATTTTCATTCCTATTCTGCATTTTTAAGGAGTTCAGTAAAACCTAAAGTAATGTCCAAAGTACTCGCGTGGATCAAATTGAAACACTTAGAAGGAATTACAAAAAGCAAATACTCTGTAGGAACGTCCATACCTTGTGTTTGTGTTTACAACTAAAAGATTTCTTATCTGATTTCTAGGTAGACCATGGGAATGTTTTCCAGCCAATCTGTTTTGCATGCTCCTTTATCTGTCATGAACTTTACTCCAAGATACACATCAACCTTTTAATTTTAAAAGTGCAGTGCTGTAGCATGGGTGAAAGTTGTATTTGTACCACTGATAAGGGTGAGGTGCCTCTCATTTGCTTTCAGACCAGAGAATATCAGTTTTGTTTTGTAGCAAACTGTTATTTTTTTCATATGGAAAAGACTATAGTCTGACCTATGTTAACACTGGCCTGGAGAGGTTGGACATAGTAAAGGTAAGCTTTTAATATGGTGGGTTGAAGCAGCAGTGTAGTAGTGAGGGTTTTAGACTTATTTCCAAACTCCCGCCTGTTTGAACTGTGTCCTCATCATGTCCCAGCTCTGAGACCAAGGCATGTGTTTTTTTTTTTCCTAGAGAAACAAATGAATGTGGGCTAGCATGAGCTTCAGCTCTTCGTGAAGGCTCAAACTAAGTGATCAGGTTGTATACAGCTAGACATGCCTGTCCTGCAGCCTACTGGCAGACAGCATGGCTAAAATAAGTCAGAGTATTCATAGTTTGGAGTTCAGAAGCATAGAATTATATGTTGAAAAGTGTGTTGGTAAGTGATTAATGAGAGGTATTTTAACATTGAAGTTTCTCACCTTTAAATAAAATTTTCTATATCCCATGCACTGTCATAGTATATGTTATGTAACATTCCTTTGCTCAACAAACTTTGTATTTTATTTTTTTCCTTTCCTTAAATCACTGTGCACTAAATCACTAAACTGTATTCATGCTGGCATTATTGTTTCTGTCTTGCCTAATATAGTTCAAGGAGAAAAAACAATAGGCAAATATACATTCTAAAAAAGTTCCAGGATAAACAGAATATACGTATATGAGATAACAATGCTTATTTGCTTTGGTGGGGAGTCAAGCACAAGGTGCTTGTCATTTTATCAGTACTAATAACTGGTTTAGTAATAATGTAACTCATCATTTGTTAATGTTTCCCACTAAGAATGAAACTGTGAAATTTTACTTTTTGTAATTAATTGCTTCTTAACCGTTGAATGATATATCTGAAAAACCTGCTCAGACAAGTTGCTGTGAATAATTAATTGTTAAAATTTTTACCTCCTTGTCCTGGGTAAAATGGTTTATTGTCAGAAGTGCGCTTTGAAATGAAATTTTTAAACTGTAAGGTGCTGTTCCAGACTGTTATTTTCTTTTAAGTACAGCAAAATACTTCTTTTATTTCAGGTGGGTTTAAGATACCAGGTGCCTTGTTTCCTTTATAACAAGGATCCTGAAAATTAAGTGATAGGGAAATGTAGTATCTTAATGTGCAGAAACAGTGCAGAACCTCAGATGGGGAAAGTTATGTATCTTCTGGCACAACCCAACTCCTGTACGTGGAATTATTTGAACATCACCAATGTCAATTGCTTGCTTTAGGAACAGAGTTTATTGTATTTGCGCTTTAGTCTCATTGCATCACATTTTCTAAAGCCAAATATGCCAATGTGGAATAACTCAATTTTTACCAGCTCATACTAGCATGTTTACTTAGTATATATATTTTAAGAAGAGTCTATTTTCTCTTTTTGTTTTTCTAAAATAGTTGGCTTAAAAAATCAAAACAAGCTAAAACCCAAACTATTAATTTCAGAAATGTCTGATATAGACTAATCATAAATTATTAATATTTTGTTCCCATATATCTAGAAGAGATACAGGATGTGTGTCTGTTAAATTACAGTTTGTGATGTGTTCTGTACTTTGATGCTAAAGAGCACAAATTGCAATCCAAAATGAATACATATTATACACAGTCCTGTTATGTTGCTGATCTGTAACTGCAGTACTGCTTAGCTTCGTATTTTCTAACGGTGCAAATTATGGTATGTTACAGAATTAGTACTCTATGTCAGCCCACTTCTAATAGCCAACTATTAAACTACAAATCAATTTAGTCATTACAAATCAGGCATAATCTGTGTGCCAGATCTTTGTAATTTGTGTAGGTTTTTTTTGTTTTTGTGAAATTTGATCTCAGATTTTGCATTGGTGATTTTAATCACATATATGTGGTGAAAATATTTGATTTCCAAGTCTGAGACACTTGATTTTTTGAAAATAAATATAACTCAGGCTTTGAAAGTCATTGTGCATACAGAGCCTAAAGTCATGATATTCATAGGTCTGAATGGCATGTTAAACTCTGTATGTGTAATACGTAATGTTTTTAAATATTCTTAATGAACGGTCAGAAGAAAATACATGAAAAAAATGACTTTTAACTGTTGCTTTTTCTATGGGGATTATTAGATCCTTAGTTCCCTCTTTGCTAGAAGATTCTGGCAAGTTGTGAAATGAATCTGTACCAAGTTTGCTAATAAGCTTCAGCACTTCACTTCTTCTGTAAGGTGGAGATGAAGCTAGGGCAAAATCCTGGTTTTGGAAACACAGCAGCTGATCTTACAGCTTAACCTGGCATCTGTTCTTGGAGGTTTAGCAACTCCTTTTATAAAATATTTTGCTAAGTTCTACCAGCAAATGATGGAAGGGAGAGTGGGCAGGGTGATGACTAATTCCTGAGTTCTGCATCCATGGAAAATAGCTTCAGTCAAATCCTATGTATTTCCCATAGAGAAACTTTTTATACTTTTATCATTCATCCTTTATAAAGGAAAAAAGAAAAGGTGTGATTTGTATCACTAAAGATCAGATAGCACAGTGCAGAAAATGTGTCTGTTTTAATCTTCTGATTTGTCTCATGAAGATATGTCTTTCCTGTCCACAGGAAGGCTTATGCACCTCTATGCTGTTTGTGTAGACTGCTTAGAAGGGGTTCACAAAATTATCTGCATCAAGTGCAAGTCCCGATGGGATGGAAGCTGGCATCAACTGGGAACTATGTATACCTACGATATTCTGGCAGCATCTCCCTGTTGTCAGGTTAGTACTATACATAAATAAGACTCTAAGGTGAAATTGCTGCTGATGATAAAGTCAAGGTTTGTGTATCTCTTCTCCCTTTCCTCCTTCCATCCTTCTTTTCCAGTCTGTACCTATGAGTGGAATACAAGAAAGCTGACTGGGTCCCCGTCCCTTTGTCTTAAGAGGTACAAAAGCCTATAGCTAGACAAAAGGCATTGCAATGGTCAATGGTTAATACTTTTGTTTTTAAATAAAGCCCCCTTAAATGCATTTGCTGTTAAATCCAATGCTGCATCACTAGCATCAGATATAATCCACATTTTCAGCAGCTGTTTCATGTTTTCAGGTTTTTTTAGTTCATAAATCATGTTTTATCATAATTTTAGCAAAAAAGCTCCAAGGGAACAGAAAGGTCTAAAGTGTCTTTATACTTGGAGATTACTCAGCTCTCCTTAATCTTTGCCGTGACTGACTCTGGTGATGGTGCTTCATCCACCACAGCCTGAAGCAACATAGTTTTTATTAAATGCTCACCTAATCTATACCTTGAGTGAGGAAGATCCAAGGCTTGGGGCTACTCCAGAGTAGACATGTGCCCAAGAGAACAGGTTAGTTAGCATTCAAGAGAATTGTCTTTGTGATGGACAGAGTACTTCTGCTGTGCAGGTAGGGGTAGACAGCTGCAAAAAAAGCATTTGTCTGGGAATGGTCTCAGTGGTCCGCTCCAGATGCTCAGACACAGAGGTGTTGTTGGTAGGATAGGACAGGAGCCTTGCAGAGATGCACGTGTTCAAACTGTGCTCACTTCATGGTGATGTGCATACTTAAGAGCAATCTAAAATACCATTTTGTCAATATGAAAAATGACAATTTATTTTAAATCTAACATATTTACAAAAATGTGTTGCTCAAAAGACAAGTGGTGTTTCTGCTGCTAGTTAAGATGGCATTGATAGCAGTTATAACTACAGGCAGATATACTGCCTCCAAATTTAGTGTTTCTTGAAAATGTAACTTAAAAAACTAGGGACTTTAAAAGATAAAAAACTGATGCTGACTTGCTGTCTTTGTAAAAGGCAGCAACTTTAAATCTGAATTGCTTCTGTAGAATGTATAATACAAGAATTAAGAGCTCATTAAGACCCTTAATTACATGATTAATGGACAGTGTGACAGTACATGGTATCAGAACTGATTATAAAATCATTAAGTGCAGTGACTGTAGTTGCCAGATAGTACACATTATTGTTTCACCATGATTGTTATAGGTGATTCCATGCATACAGAGGAATGACATTTAAATATAGTATATGATTTAACTCCAAATTACCTTGCTGATTTTATTTTGAATAATTTCATACCTTATTTCAAAATATTTAATTCTACACCACAAATTTACATGAAGGATAAAGCCTCTGTCAGGTTACTAACACTTAACTGATGTGCTGGACGGTAGCAAAGGAGAAAACACTTTGGTTAAGAAATTAATAAAAATTCATAATCTAATAGATTGTATTTCTTAGAATTTCTGCTTTTCAAGCAGAACAGATGGCTGTGAAGCTGTTGATTAGTTTCTTTTTGAGTCTGGTCTCAAGAGGAATAGTACTTTAATAATTTCCTCCTCTCCTCATCCAGGAAAATCCCTTAAATCAAGGTGGCCATAAACAATACTTTTTTGTTCTTTTCAGTGAAGAGCTGAAGCTTTCATTAGCGTATTGGGCTGTGAGGTTAAGCTACAGTACAGCTCAGGCCCTTACTGCTCTTTTGCCACCTTTACTCTTAAACTCCTTTACAATCTCAAATCCCTTCTGCTTCTTCTGAAAGACCTGCTGAGCTTTCATGTTGCCTGTTGCTTTCTTTACATCAGATGGGCTGTATTTCTCAGCTAGATTCCTTCTGAAGACTCACTTTTTTGTAACAACTGAATATTAACGGCTCTGTCTGTCCTCACCTTTGACCTTTAATTTCTCATATCCACCCAGTTAATGTTGCTTTTTTCTCAGTTGATTTTGTAGAATAGTTTGTGTGCTTGAAGTGGTTTAGTTTGTGTATCCTGATAAGTATTACAAATGGTTAAATAGCTACTTAAGGTGACAAAAATATCATGTTGTGCTGATAAAGTAGATTGAGTTATACATTCGTTAAGCCAAAGGATTAAAATGCTGATATATTTCACGGACAGATGATGTTCAAGTGTCATCTGAAATGGTTGAATTGCGTGGCACAAATATAAAATTTCTCTCTGTGCCTTGGGGCTTCATTTATAATTTATTGAGACAGCACTTCTTGTGCTGCAGATTGAGGAATTGGTTCAGAGATTAGGCAAAACAAAACAATCATTTGTGTAAATAAACCTTGAAATTCTTTGCCTCTCGTCAGTCAGAATGGGACTTGACCTACTCTCCAGAATTTGGTGGTGATATTTAATGTGAAATATATAGTGCATACCTGTGAGTTACCAGTCCAGGTGAGGAATGTCCTTGCTAGCAGATCCCATTACTGCCAATTTCCTGACTGACCCATTCTCCTGCTGGGGAGGGCAGGGGGCTGCCTCTGGCACCTTCGTTTTCCAGAGGTGAGTTTGGTTGTTTAAAAAGTATTTTTTGTTTGTTTGTTGTTTACAGGCTCGACTGAACTGTAAGCACTGTGGGAAGCCAGTAATAGATGTACGGATTGGCATGCAGTATTTTTCTGAATACAGCAATGTCCAGCAGTGTCCTCACTGTGGAAATCTAGACTACCACTTCGTGAAGCCATTTTCTTCATTTAAAGTTTTGGAGGCTTATTGACGAAAGCTTTGCTTTAGTAATAGCTATTTTATGGGTATTTCAACTTTATTACATATCTTTTTATAGGATTCATTCTGTGATGAAATTTAATTTCTTTTCTAACTGAAAGAGCAGCTTCTTTGTCAGTGTACATATTAATATGTATATATATATATATATATGTCGTTAAAACCAGAATCCTCCTGACAAGATCTCTGTGAAGGTTGGAGGCAAGCCAATTTAATGGCCTTTGAATATACCCCAAGTATGGGGTAAAGATCAGCTAAAAATGATTTGGGTTTATTTTTTGTATAATTGTAATACAATTTATAGCAAGGGTATGGGGAAGACATACAGGACAGAGAAATATGTCCAGTTGAAAAATGGATAGTTGTGTAGTGAATGTTTCAGCTTGGTGAAAATGGGAAATCCTTGGGAAGAAATGGTTCTGTTAGTGCTGAATTCATTCAGCCTTTTAATCGGTCCTCACAGGCGCAGGAGCTGGCTCTATGCTGCTAGTCCCACCAGTCCCCTCAGCAGGCTTTCTTTCAGATTTCCCAAAACAGGAGTAAAGTAGGGTATCATGACAAGTGAATGTAAATGTATGCCAGCAGATGCAATCTTGAATGAGGTTTTTTGTTTTGGCATAGCATCTTCCTGCTGTGTGTGTTTGATGTGCATTGCCCTCATGGCAATAGTGCTGCTTCCAACGGGGCTGTCATGTGCCCAGCTGGGTCATCTGCTCCTACCAAAACAAGCTGGAGATCTTAAAATGCTTTATTTAAAGGTATTTCTTCACAGACATTTTAGAGAAGGAACTGGCTGAGCTGAGTGGGTATGTGTTTGTATGTGCCTGCTGGGGCTGAGGCTTTGCTCCCTGCTCTAGACTGGTGTGACTGATGTGGAAGGAGAACCATGAAGTGGGATCTGGGCCCTCAGATCTTTAAGAGCTGAGACGTACTGAGTACAAAACATGACATCACTTTTTAAAACAATTAATTGCTGCATCTTCATATTTCAAAATTGTGTTCAGTTTAGGATCTAAAAACATGGAGACATTTTAAGAAAGCAAACTTAGCATATTTACTTTCTACATGCCTCTGTGCTGTACATAACAGGCTGCATTAGGCAGTGAATTCGTATCAGAGAGTTTGGCCCTGTAGACTCTGCAGTTGTTGTTTCTTGATTCCCATTTCTCCTTTGCTTAAATAAATTTTTTTAAAATAGGTCATTATTCTTTTGCTTGGTTTCTCAAATCAGTTGAGACTTATGGGAGGTGTGGTTTTCTTGCTTTTCTCTGCAGTGTGTTTATGGAGTGTTTGTCCACTTGAGAAGTATGGGGGTTGTTTCTGTTTACGAGATGGGATTTTTTTTTTCTTAAGTTTTTTTGTTTTCCAAATTAGAATCTTTTTAAAGAATGTATCTGTCAAAATCACGGTCTTGAAAATGGCCCTGATACTCTGCCACACTGGGAAAGAAACAAAAAAGTCAGAGGCCAAGAAAGTGTTTTTCCCATATTGGACTGGGAATTATGCTTTCTGCTAAGTTAAGAAATGGACATGCACATAAAACTCAAGCTGAATACCCATGTTTCTTTGTGTGTAAAAATGCCAAGTTCACGGTTTTACTTCCTGGCTATCTTCACTGCAGAATTAGCTTGTTTTAGCATTAGCTACTCTTTGAGTAATACTCAAGTTGCACAGAGGGTTTACGTGGGCACAAGTGACTTACTGCTAACTTGAGTGGTAATGTCCTTAAAAGCCACCCAGCTCATGTGATCCATTGCTAGTCTAAACAGCAGTGTTAACAGGCTGTGGTAGCCTTCTTCACTGGTGCTCTTCTCCTTCAGTCCTCACTCCTGAGCTTGGTTTTGGGTCTGCAGCACATCCTTGGGTTTTCTTCAGTTGTCCCCTGTTTCCTCTTCAAGGGGAATTATGGAAAGGAATTTGAGAGACTTCTAACACTGTCCCATGGCTACCACAACATTACACCAAGCCCAGTTGCAGTGGGACCAGCACTGTAAAAATTGTTCATAGGAGCAGGAGCTGGCCTGGGCATACCTGGGCTGGAAGAAGGTTTCTAGGAGATAAAACCTAATTAGCTGTGCAGTGTAGACTTCCCTTATGGAGGGCAATGAAATTATAATTTGGATTAACTCCTTGGGAAGGATGAGCCCTTCAGCTTTGATGGTGCATTGAGCAGGCTCATGGAGTTAGGGTGGCTAACAAGCTTGGAGTTGCATTTACTGGCAGTACCATGAGAACCACACCAGACAGACAATGGCTAGACTGCCCCAGCAGCCTGAAATCATGCAGCAAAGACAAAGGTCCTGTAATGAGAAACATTAAAGGATACATTTCTTCCTCTAATGTTTGGTCTTGAGTGCCAGTCACACATGCCAGGAATCTAGGGTGTTACTTCCCACATAGGCTAATGGCATTGTGTGCCCGCTTTTTTGTGCACTGATGAGGGGAGGTGTCACTGTACAATGCACATGGTAGGGGAGAAGTGGTATCTGGAGTCCTAGATACTTGTTCACTTGCTTCCCTTAGAGTAGCTTAATTTATAATTATTTTCTTTAAGTTCTTAGATGTCTCTCTAAACATGTATGTGTGACAATCGAGAATGAGTAGATGTGAAGAAAAGGGAATTTGGCCAGCTTTAAAAACACAAGTGTATGGGAGAACGTGCAGTATATCCAAGTCAAAAGTAGGAATGGAGCAGACTGAGAAAATGGGAAGGGAGAAGCGTATTTAAAGTGTTAGCAGTGACAAGGATTTACATACAAGTCTATCCAAGAAAATAATTTAGTTCTCCATCAGCTTTTCCTTTTAATTCTGTTGTTAAGTGAGTCTTACCGCTGCTTGAGGAAATACCTATTTTCTTGCAAAACACTCTCAACTGGAGGCTTAGTAGCACATGTAGCACTGTAAAAATGATCCTTGATGGAAACCATCTGAGCTACAGAAAGATTCCTCTGAACTTTCACTCCAAAGTAAATTGTCCCTAATTTGTAGAGGCTTTCCCTGCTTCTTGCTGGTGCTGAAACCTGTTCTTGGGTTTCAGCAGTATTTTTTGTAACTGCAGATTGCAGTCAAGGAGTCAGCCCCTGCCTCTGGCCATGAGAGTTTTGCCTAAGTAGAAGGGCAAATGTAACTTCTTTGGGACATAATAGCTACTTTGGAGGTTAAACTAGACCACAATTGGCTTTGCTTTCTGTCTTGACGAGCATTGGAAGTAGTTATGAGCTTATAAATGTGTCAAAAGGGAAATTACTTCCCTAGCTAGAGAGCTGCTTGCTTTGCTTGTTCGGCTAAAGTTTATTCTTCATTACGTTTCATTTTTCTGGTGCTGTGTGGTTTTTTTTAAGCTGGCCCGTGGTCAGATTAAATTTGCCTGAAATATGTTTTGTAAAAGAGAATACAGTCCAAACCTCCAAACCTCTGGATTTGGAGGTTCGTTCTACTCTCCTTAAGTGCACGTTACTCCTTGTGATAGTAATAGGAGTTGCATGTGCAAATGCTTTTCTTTCCAGTAGTTAACTCTCCTTTCGATAGGAGAGGCTTGCATTTAGATAGATTTCATATTTTGGATGTGTAAAAATGATTTCATCCATCAGTAGGATGTCTACAGGTAAATTCTGATGATCATAACTAACCAAATGGACATCTTTTACATGCTGATGTGTAATTTGACATCTACCAAGGTGAACAGCCTAAAATTGTTGTTCCGTCTAATGCTGCGGAGTCATTAAAACGACAGTGTTCTGTAGCCAGCCCATAGACTATCCTGTTTGCATTAACATCTCCAGTAGTGAGCAGTGTATTCATGAGTTTAATTGGGAAAATAGGGAATATTCCTACAAGGGAGGCATCTAACCCAATTTCTTTCTTTTTTCCCTTTTCCCCCCCCCATGTACTCTTCACTTTACTGTAACAGGTAACCAAGGACAAACATGTTGTAAGGCCACTGGTGAGAAAACCCCTCGAAAATATACTTGTCCAAAAGGTTCCTTGTTGAGACATTCTTGGATTGCACTTTTGCAGATGGAAGAATATGTACATAGCAAATGAATGTTGATGAAATTAAAATAATTGGTTATGATATCAATTACATGTGTTGTTAGAGAATATTTTGTTGTGGCTTCTCTGTATTAAAAAGTAATAAATACCAGACAGCTAATGGTGTTGGTTCTTCTTTCCCTGTTCTTCTCTGGACTAGTTTCTTACACCTGCTCTTTCTAGAGTTCCTCTAGTTGCCTTAAGTTTAAAGGGCACAATAAAACCAGGTTTTTGGTGTCAGTTAAAGTGAAACTTAATTGTAGTAATTTTGAAGACTGCTGTCCTAAGAGGGTGGTGGTGGGTGATGTGATGTGCCACCTTGCCAAACTGAAGTCCTGTTCACTTTGTTGACGTTAGAAGTGCTCCGTCTGTAGCCTAGCACGTCCTGCGGGAGCTGTTTCAGGAACACCCATGTGCTATGCCAGCTGTTGCCAGTGAGGCTGCATAGAGGACAGAGTGCTGAATCCTTCACTTCTGGCTGAGTCTGTTAATGGAAATATTCCCTCTGGTGCCAGTGAAATATCAGAAGGGCTTCTGGAGGGGAAAACACAATACAATAGCACTATGGTAAAAGGGTTTCCTATGTTATGACTGTACATGTAATCTCTGAAACCCATTTGCAAGGGAGGGGACCTAAAATCTTTGCTTTCTGTGTCAGTTTTTTCAGCAGTCTGACTAATCATGGAATCATGCATTTTAGCAAACCTTACTCCATGAGCTTACAGCATGATTTTTCAGCCTTTGCATATTACCACAGAGAAGTTCAGGAAGGATATAAATGATCATGGCCATCTGGACATACAAAAAGTAAAGCAAATACTGCTGGGAGGGACGGAAGGCCGTAGCTCAGGAGAGATGAGGTGTGATTTGGAGATTTGGGAACGCTAAAAGAGCCAGCTCTAGCTGCGCACGTTTAATTTTGGAAGCAGGTGCCATGGCTGATTTGAATAACCTGACACTGACAACCTGTATGTTAATTGTGAAAAGCACTCTGGATAGCTGCTTTTTAAAATATGAACATTTGCTCATGAGGCGAAAATATAAATAAGCTGCCATCAGCTAATTGCTAGTGAATGCAGTGATTCCATATTGATATTTTACTGAAACAATAATGGGTAATGGTTTGATGCTTAAGCCTCTGTGGGAAAACTAAATGATAACTAGTATTTCAGGGGAACTGTTCCCCTAGCTTAATTACTGCAGTCCTTGGTACTGAGTACTAAACTACGGAACTTGAGGTTTGATCTTCTGTGGTACTTACTGTGTTGCTAAAAGAAACTGAATAGCATTGTGAGAATGTAGAGAAAGGAAAAAGTCTCAGAAAAGAAAGCTTTTCAAGCTGTTACATGATATGGTATGTAGGTAAAATAGGGGTGGCACAGGCAAATTGGGTTAGGAGCATGCCTGGGCTCATATTGTGCTGGAGGCATCCCTGATTGTGTCAGAGGAGGGGAATGAACTATTCAGGCTGCATATGCGTGTGGGTGTTTGCACCTAAAAATACGTGTCCAGGTTTCACACAAATATATTTGTATTTAATTTCTATTCCTACAGTATTCTGTGAAACAATTTCTGTTCATTGTGATGCTAGTAAAACCTGGCCTTATAAAACAAAACCGGCTTTCCAAAACAGCTGCTGCTGCATATTTTGTCATTGACTTGCTACATTAGTATTTTTTGGCCTTTATTACATGCATTAGTCACTGAGTTTCCTGCACATTTGCTTTTCATTCAGTGATGTCCAACCACCATCAATGGGATGTGAAGAGAAGCTAAAGCAGCTGGTATAGCTCCTTAACCCACAGACCACCTGATCCGAAGCTCATGTGAGCCAAGCTTGCAGAGCCAAACCAACCGTGGTAGCATCCAGGAGGAACTCTGAAGTCATGCTTCAAGAAGAAATTTGCTCCTTCCTCCTTTGAAGAAAACTGCTTTCCATTTTGTAATGTACCTGCCTGAAGTGCTGTATATTCGAGAGTTTGCATTTGGCTCCATTATATCATGTAGCCTTGGAGCTACTCCCTTTTGTTAAACGTGTGCTGCACTTGTTTTCTTGTGAGAAAAACACACATGCAGATCCCATCCATCTTACGGCTTCTGTGTCCCATTTTCCTGGCTACATATTCATTTAACAAGCAGTTGAAAAAAATAAAAAGCTCTGGCAGGATCTTTTCAAAATAAAATTCTCCCTGATTACTGAGATAGGGTTGGAGAATAACAAATCAATGCGATGCCTGCATGACTTTTATTAATACAGGAATGGTAACTGTGGAATGGGGTCTGTGGAATAGAATGTAATCCAGCCATAAAAATCAAAGAGACTTAAATAATAACACATATTACCAATTGCCAAATACTTCAGCCTTTTTTTCCTTATTTTGTGGTTTTTTTCCGGACCTGAGCTTTTAAATGAGTCTGGCTCCAACTGAAGTAATACTTTGTGTTTGGAATGTGATTAGTGTAGGCTCGATTTAATTGCCTGAGACTTGTTCTAAGAAGCATCCCTGCTAGCTGATTACTTGTATAATGTTTGCAGACTTCCCAATCCCCACGTGACAAACTGATCCTTCCGTTTTTGTGTGTTTAGGAAGCATCATTCAGTTGGTACAAGACACAAACACTGATTGAGGATACTGAGGCGGGCTTTTCCTTTTCCATGTCTTTTATAAGACCTGTAGGCAGACAGCACCTCAGATCAGAAATGAGAAAGATTGAGAAACTGAATCAGAAACTAGAATCAGTACTTTAAAAACTAGGGAATATTTTCTTTAAAACTTTAAGTGATTGCTGTGGTTACAAGCTCTGTAACCAGGATATTCCAGTTACACAAATAGTAATTGAATTTAGTATGCTTTTAAATTTCAGTCTTCTGCCAAAGAATATGTTGAACTGCGTGGGAGTCTTTCCTTGCCATTGGGCAGCCTTTCCATTTGGTGCAGTCAACACTAGATGGGCTGCCGTGTTGACGGCAGAAGGGGAGCAGCTGCAGACCTTGGTGTACGGCCGGGTGGAACATAGGAACCTAATAATCAGGGGCAAAATACCACATAAAGTGTAATTCACTACCACAGGCAGCACGGCAACCACATTGGTTCGAGTAGAAGTCAACTGCAGAGTAAGGGACGAAAAGTTTTATGGCAGTTCTTCCTGATGATTTTGTAAGCAGTCCTCACTTAAAAATTGTCAATGCTTGTACCTTGTTGAATTTAAATTCCTCTGGCTCTGGCTGAAAGAGTCCCTGTTCCACTTCTTTACCTCTGCCCTCCCACTCATGCTGAAGCTGAAGGGATGCTCACAGCCAGGGAGATGATGGACCTGGCTCCCTCCAGACCCAGTGAACTGGCTCTGCACTTTAGTGCTTGCAGGTACAAGATGCCATGTGGACAGTCTGAAGCCTTGGAGAGAGCCAGCATGGGTATGACTGAGCTGAATTATTTTGCCTCTGCGTTCTACCTCATCTGTGGTATGCTTGTGATGTGCTTCTGAGAGCTATTTATCTAAAAGGCTTGCATGGAAAAGAAAGGCAAAAGAGTAGCAGGACTTAACTGCCCCCGTTGGTGCATGTCAGTGTCATAAGACCTGTTACCCAGGGGAACATAAAGCATCATGAGCTTGCTCAAGTTCCCTGCAGCACACAGACATCTGCCTGAGGGTCCTTGCTTTCTTAGTTGTGCCCTGGAACAAGATCAGTGGGAGCACACTGTAACTGCCACAGTGTGACTGCTGAATGTGTTGTGCTCATGGAGGTGGAGCAGCTGTGCAGCAGGTGGAGCAGGATCACCCACACATCTTTTTGCTTTTGTGGGAAGATCCTGAGAGAAGTAGTTCTCAGGAGCTGCCTATTTGTGGCTGGAAAAAATGAGAAACGAGTCAGTTGCAGTAGAACCAGGAAGCCAAGCAGGGATTTTGGCAATGTAGCTGTCCTCTGTCTCCCGAAGTCTGTGGAAATGGGGTTGTGTCTGTTTATACCAGAAAAAGATATGTGCTAGTGCTTTGGATAGTTGATGGATGTCAGAACTTCAGAGTACAGGTATTGCTGAGAACAAGCACTGTACAAATTAGTCTAGTCATGTGTTTTGCAGATCCCTCATTAGCAAGGAATTCTTAATAAGAATTATAATATTAATGAGGGTTTATCCTCTAAATCCCTTTCAAAGGAAGAAAAGAATCAGAAAATTGACTCATACAGTAAGGTGAGGACATTTGGCTGAAGGCTGAAAGCATGAAAGAGGTGATGGGAGAATTAACATTTCACTTCCTCTCTGGAGAGTGTACAGCAGAAGAGGGCTGGAGGGAGGAATGTTCTGACTCAACAGACTGGGGGAGAGGTGGAATTAGCAGGACAGCTGGCATTTGGTTAACACTAGGAGAGCTTCAATCAAGATGTTTGATGACTACTTGCAATATCAAATTTAGCTGGGGAGGAACCATTGTCAAGTACAAAAAGCTTTTTCCACTGGTCTCTCTGTCTTGTCATGGTCACTAGAGCTGGTGTGAGTTACTATGCATAGCACTGGGCACAGCCCAATGCAAGGTCACCGTGAGAGGGGAGTTTGCGTATTGCAGTCAGCTTTTGCTGAGGATTGTGTCTGCACGCTGGCACTCTCCTTGTGTGGATGGCAGTGTTGTCATGACCTTACTGGAGGTTTGTTATTTGTGTGGATTTTGGTGTGCTTCATGTCTGACCTCTGATGAAAATGTGCTGGCAGAAGAGAAGCACTGGAGGGCCCAGCCCTGTTCTGCTACCAGTTTGAGAGCACAGCTGCCCTCGTGTCCCTTTACCACTCAGCTGCCATGTCTGTGCAAACACACACCTACACCTAAAGCAACTGGACTTTCCAGGCCAGCTTATTGTTGAATCCTCTCTTCCTGCTGTGCTCAGCTACTGACTAGTGGAAATGCAGTTCTGTGAGCCAAGTCAGAGAGAGCAGGCCAAATTTTAAAGTGGGTGTGTATAATCTTCAGAAAAAATACTGTGTAACTGTGAACTCTATAATTTTCTTCTGATTGTTTTGATGGAGGTCAAGGCATGATAAACATGCATGTGAAAACTTGCACTGGTTTAACCACATCAAGTTGAAAATGTACAGGCATGAACAAGACCCAGAAATGTCAGTATTC